ATGCTCACGTCCCGCTGGAATATCAAGCGAGATGGCCTGTGCACAGTGCCCAGTTTCCGGGCGAACACACCGGAACTGTCCTGATCCGGACTCCTCTAAGCGACGGGCTTCCCAAGTGCCCTCAAAAGCCGAGGCTCCTAAACGAGCTATGACATGTTGATAAAACTCTGCGCAATCATGTTGTTGCGAGGGCGACCTCCATCCCCGAAGAGCAAAGCTAAACATCAACTGACCTGCAAGGAACACTGGCTTGTCGTTATGCTTGAAGAGCTGCTTGAGAAACTTAAGCCCAGCACTGCCAAAGGAGTCATCAAGACCCGGATCCTGTGCAAGCGCCCATGTCAATGTCCTGATCACCGTGTTCAAGTAGCAGTAGTTGGAAGGATTGCGAAGTACAAGCGTCCTCATCGAAGCAACTCTGCCAGCTTCTGCACTGCCGGCGATCTCCGAAAGCCCTCCTTGCGCAGCTGAAGGCCGCACAGTTGCATGGACGCCTGGCCTTGCATCGTCTCCAGGAGCTCGTAGAAGCGATGTGCCACCGGCTTGCGGAACGTCACATCCAACTGAAACACTATCATGTGTCCTTGCATGTGCTCCGTCATGGGACGATTGGAGAAGAAAGCTGAGATGACCTCCGATGTCGCCAACTGCTTCAGCTCCCCGAGTACCTTCAAAAGGTACTCCGAAGTGATGGGCTCCCGAGTGCTGTCCACCTCCAGGCTGTGCTTCTCGTGCGACCACACCTGATACACCCAAGTCCCGGCACTGCTCAGCCAGCCCGACTCCACTGCTGTCCCCCGCTGCTCCTGTGTCAGGTCGCGAAGGGCAACCGTCAGCTGCTCTATCATGTTCCAGAAGAGAATCGCNNCGGAGACTGACATGAGCGAACGGACAATCCGGTTTGACAATCTCGGTCTTCCACTTCTGCGAGGTCTGAAGCATGCCCGGCACTATGGAGGGAGTCGCCGTGCGGGCGAACAGTATCCAAGCCGTGCTTTGTTTGAGAATCTTCAA